TCTGAAGGGTCCTAACGCCCGCCCCTGTGCTGAGCATGCGTAGTACAGAGGCGAGGCCATCGCCTCCGCGCGTGTCGTCGTCTTCCCCCCACCCCCCGTTTTTCATTAAATCTGTGGGATTTTTGTGGAAAAACGCATTACCTTTCTGTGTGAAAATGTTCATATAAGGCACCCACAAGCGCCCGTGTCCTTTTCCCCTCGGAAGCTATGGGAGGCGCTGGGACTGTGACGGGGAAGCGGGGTGTGGGAAGATGGCGGTGTGGGGAGGCGAGGGATGAAGGGAGGCGAGGGCGGGGGGGGGGTACGTTGGGGGCCGTGAGGAGGCATGGAGGGTCCTCCAGAAGGGGCCAGGTCTGTAGGGTGTGGGGATGGGGCTCTGCGGGGAGCACCTGCAGTGGAGGGTCTCAAGATGGGCTCTGCCAGGGGTTGGGGGACCCAGCTCCACCAGCACCCGAGATGCCACCAAACTCCCCAGGCTCTGCCGGAGGTGGGGGACCCAGCTCCACCAGCACCCGAGAGATGCCACCAAACTCCCCAGGCTCTGCCAGAGGTGGGGGACCCAGCTCCACCAGCACCCGAGAGATGCCACCAAACTCCCCTGGCTCTGCCAGGGGTGGAGAACCCAGCTCCCACCGACGCCTGAGAGTTGCCACCAAACTCCCCGGGCTCTGCCAGGGGTGGGGGACCCAGTTCCACTGGCGCCCAGAGGTGGGGGACCCAGCTCCACCAGCACCCGAGAGATGCCACCAAACTCCCCTGGCTCTGCCAAGGGTGGGGGACCCAGCTCCACCGACGCCTGAGAGTTGCCACCAAACTCCCTGGGCTCTGCCAGAGGTGGGGGACCCAGTTCCACTGGCGCCCAAGAGATGCCACCAAACTCCACGCCCTAGCGCCTTTGCCTCACCCTCCTAACACAGGCACCCCAGGGCATGGCGCCGTCCCCGCAGAGAGACGCCCAAGGGGCTCCTCTGGATGCCACACACATGCTACACAAGCCGCAGGGCTAAAGATGAACCTTTATTGTCAGGTGAGCCAAACTGCACAAAAGCCCAAGCCGGGGTCAAGCGCACATCGTGCTGAGTGCTGGAAGAGCCCAGGAAGAGCCAGGCCAGGGCAGAGCTCTCCCATCTTCCCACCGCAGCAGGAGATCCCTGCTCCCATGCGTTCCTGGGCTGAGCCCTGGCAGGTCTCGCACCGCGTCGGGGCTGTCTCGTGCTCCGCGGGGGACGCTTGGGGTCAGCAAGGAGGTTGCTGCACCTCACAGCACAAGGCAGTGCTGCTGGGCTTGCTCAAGCATGCCAGGTCTTTTTCCATTCCTCCTAGGGCTGCCCTTCCCCCTGTTAAGGGCTTTGCATCAGGGTTGCAAGGGAAAATGCAGAAAGCTTTTGTTCCCCGTTTCTAAAACCAGTTGAAGGCACGTGACAGGGAGCAGTAATAGTTGCCATTGTCTTCAGGGCGGATAGATGCAATGATGAGGATGCAGGCATTACTGGCGAGGTCTTTGGTAGCAGAGAAGCGGTCAGGAATCATGGCGGGCTTGTGCTTGTCTCGCTCGGAGTTGTAGTAGAGCAGATACCTCAGGGAGTGGCCTGGACGCTGCTGGTACCAGGAGATGCCGAACTTGCTGATGTTGTACTGGGGGCTCAGGGTGCAGGACAGCCGAGCGGTCTGCCCGGGCAGCACCGATATGGAGGGTGGCTGGGTCAGCACCGGCTGAGCCCTGGAAGCTGCACGCACCAAGGATGCACTTACTGATGGGCTGAGCAGTGTTCCCCATCACCCTCAGCCCCAAAATGTCCCCCTGCTCTCTTGAGGCAACCCCATTACCCAACCTCCATCCTGCTCATCACACCGCACAGCCCTGGAGCAAAATTCCCTACTCACACCAACATCCCCCTTGCACAGCCCAGTCCTGCCCGCCGCCCCC